ACACCGCTGTATTATATGTAAGGAGCTAACAACAACGTCAAAAACCTATGAAGGGGAAAATTTCCAGATTCCCAAATGTTAGAAAGAATTATGTAGGAACTCAGCAAATGCCAGCGTTACAAATTAATCAATTGACATGATTTAATATATGTCATTTCACACAGTGCCTTGCCTAACACCTCCGTTATTACAGGTTTTTACATCTTTGTTGAACATACCTTGCCAAAAAAAACAAAGAACAGAACCCTTATTCTACATTTCACTACTTTGAAACAGTCAAAGATGACCCCAAACTGGGAGAGGGTGCGATTGCTTTGGAGGATAGGGTCATAATTCAAAACGATCTGGACAAACTGGAGCAATAGCTGGAGGGAAACAGGATGAAGTTTAACAAGGACAAATGCAAAGTGCTCCACTTAGGACGGAACAATCCGTGTCACACACACAGAACGGGAAGCGACTGTCTAGGAAGAAGTACTGCAGAAAGGGATCTAGGGGTCATAGTGGATGACAAGTTAAACATTTGTCAACAGTGTGATATTGTTGCAAAAAAAGCACACATGATTCTGGGATGTATCAACAGGAGTGCTGTGAGCAAGACACGAGAAGTCATTCTTCCGCTCTACTCTGCACTGATTAGGCCTCAATTGGAGTATTGTGTCCAGTTCTGGGCACCACATTTCAAGAATGATGTGAGGAAATTGCAGAAGGTCCAGAGAAGAGCAACAAGAATGATGAAAGGTCTAGAAAAACATGAGCTAGGAGGGAAGACTGAAAGAATTGGGCTTGTTTAGTTTGGAATAGAGAGGACTAAGAGGGGACATGAGAGCAGTTTTCAAGTATCTAAAAGGGTGTCACGAGGAGGGACAAAAATTGTTCCCCTTGGCCTCTGAGGATAGGACAAGAAGCAATGGGCTTAAACTGCAGCAAGGGAGGTTTAGGTTGGACATTAAGAAAAACTTCCTGCCTGTTAGGGTGGTGAAACACTGGAATAAGTTGCCTAGGAGGGTTGTGGAATCTCCCTCTCTGGAGATATTTAACAGCAGGCTGGACAAACACGTTTCAGGGATGATCTAGATGGTGTTTGGTCCTGCCCTGAGGGCAGGGGACAGGACAGACTGACCTCGCGAGGTCCCTTCCAGTTCAGTAGCAAGCAGAAACCCGTTCCTGGCTGGCAAGCACAGTGAGGTGGCCAAACCATCCGTTTCAGGTTTCTAGCCCTTGTGGTTGCAAAGGGAACCCCCCACACGTGGCCTGATGCGGTGCTGTCTTTCGGAGGCACGTCCGCAAGGCCGCTCTACGGCGTGGCAACCGTCTCGCTCGGGGGCGTGAAAACGCAACCTGTGGCAGCGCTGGGAAGCTCCGAGGTCAAGAGGCTCCCGGCACGAAGAGCCATGTCCCTCATGCAGGTGGGTCACACAGCGCGCGGAGGCCACACTGGCGCTGGGCAGCACAACGGCGGCCGTGCGCTAGCGCGCCCAGTGCAGCCTTAGCCAGAGTCTGTAACGCGTCCAGCGCCCTGGGTGCGGCTCAGGCCTTTCCCAAGCACAGAGAGAAATACCAGGAGGCAGAATCCCCCGGCACGCAGCCAATGAACAGAAGCAGCAGGGGAGAACCCCTCTGCCAAGCCCAGAAATACAGGAGGCGGGGAGAGGAGGCCAGGGGTGGAGAGGCCACACCCAGCAAACCCCCTGCAGCCAGCAAGTCCGGGGGAATAAGGGTCAGCTCCTTGGCCTTTCCAAAAGCCAGAAGAGGGGAAGGGTAATGGAGAACAGCCTGCTAGCCAGAGGCAGATACCACAGCCCGAGGGGGGTCCCGGAAGCTGCACCCTGGACTGTTCTGAGCAGCAAGGGTGAGTGGGTTCTTAGCAGGCTCTGCCCCAGGACTTGGGGGGCTGGGACACGCCTCTCACAGCAGTGTGCTTGCAGAGACCGGTGAATCCCGTGACCTCTGTGCAGCTGAATAATTGACAGAGCTACTACGGGAAAGAACCGGCCACCTGTGACCAGTGCAAGCTGCACCCGGCTTAATCCTCAGGCTACAGAGTCTGGTAAACTCCCCAGGCAGGCAGTTTGGGCATTTCTGGAGTCACTGGCAATTACAAAGACACACAGTTGAGTGTAGGCCCCTTTCAATCAATACTCCTTTTAGCGCCATTAGAACGGCCACGCTGGGCCGGACCAAAGGTCCATCCAGCCCAGGGGCCTGTCTGCCCACAGTGGCCAATGCCAGGTGCCCCAGTGGGAGTGAGCAGACCAGGGAGTCATCAAGTGATCCCTCTCCTGTCACCCATTTCCAGCCTCTGGCAAACAGGCCAGGGACACCATCCCTACCCATCCTTGCTAATAGTACTGATGGACCCAACCTCCGTGAATTTATCTAGTTCTTCCTTGAACCCTCTTAAAGTCCTGGTCTTCCCAAAATCCTCTGGCGAGGAGTTCCACAGATTGACTGTGCGCTGAGTGAAGAAAAACTTCCTTTGGTTTGTTTTAAACCTGCTGCCTATTCACTCATTTGGTGACCCCTAGTTCTTATGTTATAGGAACAAGTCAATCACTTTTCCTTAGTCACTTTCTCCTCACTAGTCACGATTTTATAAACCTCTGTCCTACCCCCACTTAGCCTCCTCTTTTCTAAGCTGAGAAGTCCCAGTCAGCTCATCTGCAGCTAGCGGCGTAAGGCCCGGCAGGGAACAAAAGGCCATTAACCACTGTAGGCTGCACAGGCTTGCTCTGCGATGTCCCACATCATTCTGCGAGCTCTGTAGACTCTAGAGCTCCAGCAGCTGCCCGTGACTCCCACAGCCAGAGCCATGGGACTTGGCTAGAACTCTACTCAGAAAGCTCTCAGGAAGTGAAGACCGCTGGGGGGACGTCACAGAAATGAGCTTTGAAAAGAGGCGAGCAAAGCGTGGGAGTTACAGGATACGGGTCTGGGGTGTCTCTGGCAGCAGCGGGACACCCCTTGACCCGTTTTCTCTTTCCAAACCCTCAGCCTGAGGTCTCCTCTCACCAGACCAGCGTGAAATGGCGGGACAGGGCGTCCCTGCTAAGCGGCCAAGATACATTCCAAAGCACGCGGATCCCTCCCTTATGCCAGGGGAGCTGTCGAAACAGGCTCTTTCTCGACAGATCCTCCCTCGACTGCTGCTTTTTGCCGACAAAGCGCTGAGTCGGTGTGACGGCGCGTCGGGGTCCCACATCTCCTGCACCCCCGGAGTGGCACGGACAGACTCCACCAGCCAGTAGAACAGGGGAGTTTATTGCTTCTCCAGGGTACAGCCCAGCACAGATGGAATCTGGTTCCAGGGCAGTCCTAGGATGCCTCAGCCCCCCTTGAGATGGGGGAGCCTGGGCCCCTAAATCCCAGCCCCTTGCTTAGGCTGCTTCCCCCGTGATACCTGCCAGAAACTCAAACTCCCTGCCAGCCCTGCCCCCCAGCCAGGGGCTGGTCTCCTCCTCCTCCCTTTGTCTCCCTCCCTGGGAGGCTGAGCCGGGGTGTCTGGGTTAATCCACGTTTGGGAGAGTCAGTGAGAATCTCCCCTCCCAGCGCAGGGGGGCCCGGGTCACAGAGCAGACAGCCCCCCACTCCGCCACAGTCGGCAAAACGTGGTGGCCATTTTTATGCACATTAGGCACGGGATATTTAAATCCCTGCCTCGTTTGCAGTGTCGACCTGCCTAATCTACATCCCCCAGAGGGATGCCGTCTGGACATACCCTAAGAGCGGGGAATGGGACGACAAGAGCCAGCGGAACGGACGTGACTAGGGGCGCGGACGCCCTGTGAGACACTGCCTGACCCTTATGCATGCTCACCCCCCGCAAGAGAGAGGAGCTTTGCTCCTTACAGCCAGCTGCTCCCGGGCACCAACCTTCCCTGGCAAGCCAAGGCCCGCGCACCAAGCCGGATCTAGAAGAGACGGGAGGGACACTGCCCGCGCCGAAGGGGGCAGAGTAGATCTGCCTTAGTGAATCAGAGCCATTAGGGACTGAAGAAACCTACGACCCCGCTCCCCCGTTCGCCCACCTGCCCTCTGCCACTTATCAAGGCTGCAAGGGCAGATTTCACCTCGTGGCCGGTGACGGACACAGCTCCTCACATCCCAGGGACCAAGGCAGGGGTCTCCCTAGCTCTCCTCTGAGCATGGCTGGTCCCTGGAAGGCTGCATGCCACCGACTGACGCCCACCCTGAGCCTAGCGCTGGTCTGCCGGCTGCCAGGCTCTGTCTGCGGGAGCCTCAGGGAACCACAGCCTGGCACTGGACTTGGGGCCACAAAGCACAGCCCTGAGAAGTAACGCTGGGCAGCCGTGCGTCCGGAAGAAGGGAGGCGGTTACTCCTCTGCCGTGCCGGGCTGGCGGCGCCAGCGAGCCAGAGCTGGCCCTGGAGTAGCTGTGTGGTTTTCCGGTGCTCTGGAGTTGCCCCATTTTAAACGGCGAGGAAGCCTGGGGGCCCCCAGAGCTGGCGATGCTGGAGCGCGCTGTGCTTGGAGGTGAGCCGCTTCCCCCCGACGCCCGTCAGACCTCATGCTGCCCCTCCGCTCCCCAGTCAACAGGCAGCAAGTCAGAGCCCAGACGGCAGCAATTTCAAAGGGGATTGGTGGGCACAGAACCGCGTGTTCCGGAGCAGCCCCGGGCAGACGCTGCCCCAGACCCACCGCCCCGCAGCCTGCGGACCAGCACTGCTTGCTGAGGCGTCCAGACGCCAGCTCTCCGGACAGCAAGGCATGTGTGGGCCGGGTTGTTTGTCACCCCCCAGAAGGAGACCCCATGGCCCTCGCCGGGGGATTCCCTTGCTGCAGCGAGAGGCGACCCACCACTAGGGCCTGGATTCACGGCTCTGCCCCCCGAGGAAGGACACCCCCAGCACCAGCCCACCCTGCCCGGAGCCCGGGAGGGAGTGCCATTCACAGCCCGCCTGACAGAGGCCATCCACAGCTGCTACCACACCCGGCCTCCCGCGCCCTCACCCCCAGCCTGCAGGCCCCCTGCCCACCTACCTTCCTCCACGTCGTTGCGCGACGCGGCCTCCAGTAACCTGGTGCTCTCCGGGAACAGCACGCGCTTCTCCTTGCGGCTGCTCTTCCGCCGCTTGTCTGCTCTGGCCTTCCTGCCCTGGGCCTCCTTCTCCAACTGCGCCCACTTCTTCAGCTGCTGCGTCCGGCGCTTCTGCGCATGCTTCAGCCGCTCCTGCGTGCTCATCCGCGCCACTGCCGGCATCTCCGCCAGCAGCTCCAGGTGCTCCGCCATGGCCGGCGGAATGGGCGCCCCCCCCCACTCCGCCCCGAGGCCTCTGCTCCAGACGCGGGCGCTTGGATAGCCCGGTGTGCACAGAAGGGAGGTGAGGGGACCCGTGGCCCCTCCCAGAGCATCAGCCCCACCCCCTAGCTGGAATGGTGCAAACTCGTCTTACCCCTGGAGCCTGGCTGCTTTCTGGGGCTCCACCAGACCCTCCGGAGAGCGAGGGGGCTGCCCCATAACCACCCTTTCCCCAGCTTTCCCCTGCCTGCCTTGCTGGGCTTCCCAGCCTCACAGCCCTGGAGTCTCTCCCCTGAGTTGGAAGTCCAGAAACCCCCCACCGAGCGAACCAGCCGACAAGCAACGCGCACGGCACAGCGGGTGAGACACCCCCTCAGCCCAGTGGACGCCACGCAGGGACGAGAAATCTCTCCCCCGCAGAGCGACACAACCGCTCCGTCCTGCGGCAAGCCAGTGGGGCCAGCCCCGCCTCGGCCGGCACACCCGGCAGCGCACAGCAGAGGGGCAGAATGGCTTCTCAGGCCCTGCCCAGGGGAACAGGCACGTTCGTTGTCTGGCACCGGTCCGTGCTCCGAAGCCTGGCTAACGTCCACCCTTTTGCCTCCTGTGCTCACGAAGCAAGGGCCGGGGTGGCCAACAAGGGGGAAAAAAATCACCGATCACTCAGTTGCAGCTGTCCCCGCTCCATGCGGCCGCCTCGGAACCGGAACGGCGCTCCTCCCAGTCCTGGGACCCAACAGGTAGTTCCATGGCTCCTCCGTTCACAGCTGCCCGACGGCAGAGACGCACAATTTAGTGCCCATCACCTGCGGCCCCCGCAGGGCCGAGATCAGATATCCGGCAGGAGAAAGGGGAAGAAAAGGCAGGCACCGTGCGCTCAGCCCTGCACAAGCCCGTCAGCCGAGGCGAGGAGAAATCCCTTCTGCACTCGCTCCTTCCTTGTAACTGGAAACCCCCGCGGGATCTGGTCTTTGCCCTCATGGGTTCCCAGGTGCTCGAGAATGCAGATCTGCGGGGGAATCCTTCCTGCTGCTGCCCACGCCCCCCAGCTCGCTGCAAGGTAACCTGCTTCCCGTCTCGCTTGCGAGCCCTCCGAAAGGAAGCGGTCTGTCTGCGCCGGAGCGGCCCCAGGCCGGGGCTCTACCCCTCTGCTTGCCCCCTGGCTGGCAACGCCTCCCTCCCTGCAGTCACCGTGAGCCTTGGAAGCCGGGCTGAGCGTGCTGCTGTCCACGGGCAAGTCGCCCCGGAGAGAGGCGCTTCGGGAGCCCTGCAAAGAGAGGAAGAAGGAAACAAACCAAAGGGAGTTAGGGGGCCGTGGGGAGCCAGCCGGCCCCTCCCGAAAGGCCTGACCCCTCTCTGCGCCCCACCCGAGGCGGTTCTGCCCTCTGGTAATCCAGGATTAACCTACAATCAACATTTAAGCAAATTACCCAGAGCTTTGCCAGTGGCAACTCAAAGCTCCTTTCTCCCTCCCTGAAGCAGGCGGCTCCAGCCGCCCCTCCCAGGCCCGCCTTCCACCAGCAGCGCTGGGCAGACCGGCCCAGGCCTGGCAGTGCAGCACGGGAGTTGCTGGGGTAGGCTGGCAGGCAGAGCGGAAAAGGAGTTTCCTCTAGGAATGGAGTTGCACTGGTTAGCCAATTGCAGGGGGTCTGACCCACACGGGCAGGCCGCTCCATCTCCCACCACGGCGGTGCCTGGTCTCGGACCTGCCTTTCAGGATGTTCCACCATTCAAAGCAGCCCCCCTCCCCCACTCTCCTCCAGGAAAACCCCTGCTAAGGGCCTGGCAGGACACTAGCCCTTCCCCTCGCCTTGCAGGGCGGCTCGTCTCCGCCACCCAGCCAGGTTACTCCCTTACGGGGGACAGGACGTTTGCAGGATCGGCCGAGGCCTCTCACTGCTGAGCCAGAGGGAGGAAAGTCGGTGGGTCCAACGAGTCGCTCCAGGGCTGGCGTGGAGCACCCCCCGTCTAGCTGAGAGCAGCACCAGGCACTTGGCCCTTCAGAGAGCCCAGCCACGCCTAGCCCTTTAGGGCAGGAACTGCTTTTTTGTTCTTTGTACAGCCCCTAGCGCAGGGGTGGGCAACAAGTTTCCACCAGGGGCCACTTCAGACATTTTTACCTAAGAACATAAGAACGGCCGGACTGGGTCAGACCAAAGGGCCATCTAGCCCCGTATCCTGTCTGCCGACGGTGGCAGCACCAGGTGCCCCAGAGGGGGTGGACCGAAGACAATGATCAAGCGATTTGTCTCCTGCCATCCCTCTCCAGCCTCTGACGAACAGAGCTCTGACAGAGGCCAGGGATACCATTCCTACCCCCTGGCTAATAGCCTTTTATGGACCTAACCTCCATGAAATTATCTAGCTTCTTTTTAAACTCTATAATAGTCCTAGCCTTCACAGCCTCCTCTGGCAAGGAGTTCCACAGGTTGACTACACGCTGTGTGAAGAAGAACTTTCTTTTATTAGTTTTAAACCTGCTCCCCATTAATTTCATTTGGTGTCTCTAGTTCTTCTATTTAGGGAACTAATAAATAACTTTTCTTTATCGGCCCTCTCCACCCCACTCATGATTTTATAGACCTCTATCCTATCCCCCCTCAGTCTCCTCTTTTCTAAACTGAAAAGCCCCAGTCGCATTAGCCTCTCTTCCTATGGGACCCGTTTCAAACCCCTCATCATTTTTTAAGTGCCCCCGGGATGCCCTGGAAGGGGCAGGGCCTCAGGTGGAAGGGGCGGGGCCAGGACACTTCCCATGCTTCCCCGCCCACGTACCCTAGTCTGTGGATGGGGGAGCGTGTGAAGTCTTTGTCCCCACCCCCCAGAGAGAACCGCCAGCTGTTCTGGACAGCGAGTGATTCCCTCTAGGCGTCCGCACCCCTGGTGGTGAGAGGAGATTTCGCGTGCGGCCCCCCACTGCACCCAGGCCAATCAGGGCCCAGGGGTGGGGGGAGCACGTGACGTCTGCCCCGCCCTGCAAGGGAGCTTAGCAGCAGCTGGCAGTTGACTCGAAGTGCCGAGCCCCTTGCAGGGCAGGAGGAGACTTTGTGTTCTCCCGCGACCCCAGGCCCTGACTGGCGTGGGGATGGGGGGAGCGCGGAGTCTCACGCTCCCTACCTTCCGGTGCGCGATGCTTAGAGTCAGGCGCCAGGGTGGACTAAGCACCGCACGCTTCACGGATCCGGCCCACGGACGCCTTTTTGCCACCCCTGCCCTAGCACAATGATTTTTGATCACAGGCCACACAAAGATTTTGGTAAGTGGTCAAGGGCTGCACTTTTCTGTGGAAGGGCTGCAGGGTCTGGGACAGAGGTTGGGTGCAGAAGGCAGCTCGGGGTAGGGGACTGGAGTGCAGGAGAGGGTGTGGGGTCTGGGAGGGAGTTCGAGTGAAGGAGGGAGTTGTGACCTGGGGCAGGGGGTGGGGGTGCAGGGGTCCAGGAACAATTCTGGGTGCAGGAGAGGAGTACGTGACGTCTGCCCCGCCCTGCAAGGGAGCTTAGCAGCAGCTGGCAGTTGACTCGAAGTGCCGAGCCCCTTGCAGGGCAGGAGGAGACTTTGTGTTCTCCCGCGACCCCAGGCCCTGACTGGCGTGGGGATGGGGGGAGCGCGGAGTCTCACGCTCCCTACCTTCCGGTGCGCGATGCTTAGAGTCAGGCGCCAGGGTGGACTAAGCACCGCACGCTTCACGGATCCGGCCCACGGACGCCTTTTTGCCACCCCTGCCCTAGCACAATGATTTTTGATCACAGGCCACACAAAGATTTTGGTAAGTGGTCAAGGGCTGCACTTTTCTGTGGAAGGGCTGCAGGGTCTGGGACAGAGGTTGGGTGCAGAAGGCAGCTCGGGGTAGGGGACTGGAGTGCAGGAGAGGGTGTGGGGTCTGGGAGGGAGTTCGAGTGAAGGAGGGAGTTGTGACCTGGGGCAGGGGGTGGGGGTGCAGGGGTCCAGGAACAATTCTGGGTGCAGGAGAGGAGTCTGACCTGGGGGAGGGGTACAGAGGGCTTGGGTTATGACCTGGGGCAGGAGATTGGGGTGTAGGAGAGGATTCTGGGAAGGGTGCAGGGAGTTATGATCTGGGGGGGTGCGGGGTGGTGACCTGGGGGAGGGGAGCTGGGGTGCAGGAGGAGGGTACCAGATGCGGCTCCCCACAAACAGGCCAGCGGGACCCTCAGGCAGGCTCACTCGCCCGCCAAGC